GCTATGATGAGATTTACTCATAAGGACAAGAACAATATAGGAATGTAAGTATGCATGTGTGCTCTGTTAAACTAGATTTAAAATGTGGCTGAAGAACAAGTCCCCAGATAAACTAACTTATGAACCATCAAGGCAATAAAACTGCTTCTTTGAACAGTAGGACAACCCAATTCGCCGAACAGCAACAATGCTCGAAGCAGCCGTAAACAGCAACAGCGTCAGACAAGGAATAAGGAGACCCAAAACGACCCTAACTGGGGTCCATTGACAAGTCCTTCACAAAATATTGACTGAAACCGAGTTTAGCAATTCTGAATTCCCGACTAAGGCAATGCGTAGTTGCCAGAACTATGTAGATCGAAAGTTGAACTTGGGAAGAGAGATACAGTGTCTCACGACACTTCTGATTACGTCAATACCACCAAATCTAAATAATGCCCTAGAGTTACACAGGAGTTACGAGATGTGTGTTCCGGCTCACCAACGGAGACATACTCAAGAGTCTAAACACGAGCCGAAGAGAAGAGCGTTCTCCCAGACAGAGCAGAAGAGGTATTACCTTCACGAAGAGCAGCGAGAGAGAGGCCTCGCAGATCCAACGTCTGGTGTCTCCTGCCGGCTCAACACTCGCGCCAGCCATGAAACAAGCAGTCAGTGGTGTCAATAGGGTTGTTGTCACCCGGGGCGGCATCTTTGGTGTTACTTCCATGAAATCCAAGGGAGGGGGGATGGGGGGAATAAACTCCAGTTACGTCACTACTGCATGACTAATGTTTAGCAATGAGAATGTTTAAGAGCCATAAACCGAACAGGAGAATACTTCTCAACTTTATTAATGATAAAATAAATAATCGTAGTAATATTGAGGAAACATAAACTTAAGTATCACTTTGAGTACAGGCAACAGATCCTACATTTATTCATTTTCAACAATAAAAAAAAATAAAAAACTTGAAAAATAAAGAAAAACATTGCAATATCAGAGAAACACTAGTTCCGATTTGACCTTGAGTACAGGTAACATCTCAGTGACTCTGATCTTACATTTCCTCGCCTTCAGTCCTGCAAAATCATCTATCACATCATCAAAATCAATGATTTTCCCTATATAGGCCTATTTGTACTCTGTAATCGTATAATAGGCTATATAGAAACGAAGGATTCTTCTCTTATGTTGGTGCAACACTGTTTTGGGCATTAATGTCACATTATTTAGAGGCTCTATGGTGCCACCTCCTAACTGGTGTCACCCGGGGGGGCCCGCCCCCCCTTACTACGCCACTGGGGGCAGCCAATTAAAACTCCCCTCCAGGATGAGAGGTGTAACTGCTACATCCTTCCTACATACATAAGCTAAATATATTAGTCAAATAATAATATAATGCAGAGGTAGAATGTTAATGTTAATATTTTTAAGTATGTATGTAATATTAATATATTAAAAAGTATCGACTGGTATCGGCTGTTTTAGTAACAGATACCGATACCAGTACAATAAATATAGCCGATACGCACCGATACTGATACTTTGGCAAATCCCTTACTCTACTGAAGCTGTCTATATACCTCTTCAAATAGGGTCCCTTCACTCCACTGAAACTGTCTATATACTATACACCTGCCTCAGCCGGATTATATTAAGTTCATCCGTTAAGTAAGCCTGTTTACATTAGGTTCCTCACCCTACTGAAACTGTTTACACAGGATCCCTCACCCCACTGAAAATCTACATCAGCCAATATGGCCAATGGAGCGACACACTTTTAGCTGATACCATCTGCTGCCTAGTTTATGTCAGTTGATATTTAATCCATTGAGTTTGGGCGGCTGATAAAGGAATCTTGTTCCAGTTCCTCCCAAGTTGGTCGAGATAATCCTATTTAGTAATTAAGGGGGATTGGGTGTCGGTTGTGGTCTTACCTACTTAGACTATTCCTCTGAATTCTGTCTGTTTTGCCATATTCCGTCTGTTTTGCTGGGTTTCGTTTGTTCCGCCGTATTCTGTGTATTCATCTGTGTTCCGTCTATTCTACTGTCATCAGGCTGCTTCACTGTGTTCACTCTAGTCCGTGTTCCATTTGTTTAACTTTATAGTCTCTTTTGCTGCCCTCTGTTCCGCTGTGTTAATCTGTTCCGCTGTGTTGCATCTGTTCCGCTGTGTTAATCTGTTCCGCTGTGTTAATTTGCTCCGCTGTGTTGCGTCTGTTATGCTTTGTTAATCTGTTCCGCTGTGTTGCGTCTGTTCAGCTGAGTTCAGCCTGGTTTGTGCTTCATGTGTTCCGCCGTGATCCTCGGTGCTAGTGACAGGGCTATTATTAAGAGAGAACTGGAGCCATTTCCTCCTTCCTCGGATATAAATAATAATAATAATGAGAAGAAGTTGATGAAAAATAATAATAAAAAGAACAATTACAGCAATGATAATAATAATAATAATAATAATAATAATAATAATAATAATAATAATAATAATAATAATAATATTATTATTATTATTATTATTATTAAGTAATAATTAGAAGACGAGGAAAAGAAAAGAAGAAGGAAAGGAAAACAAGGAGGAAAATAACCTAGGCGTGGAGATAATAATTAAGCCAAGAGGGTGGAGTCTACTCTCTCTGACGTTTTCTTCATAAAAAACCAGGTATAAAAACCTGGGGTCTGTGTTTTACCTGTCACGTGGACATATATGGTTTAGTGATGGTTGGGTTGACTAGACGGCTTGTTTATGGTGGCTATCCTTGTGTGGTGGTTTGTGGCTCCTACCACCACCACCACCATCACCACCATCACCACTATCTCTACCACTACAATCATTAATATCATGGATAAATACTACCATCGCTACAATCATCACTTACATTACCATCATCACTATTACCACCACCACTACAATCACTATCATCAACAATATCACCACCAATACCACTATCCCCATTATCACTATCAACACTGTCACAAATATCACCACCAATACATCCCTCACCACTGTCACCTACTAGTGATCCCATCACCACTGTCAACCACTAGTGATCCCATCACCACTGTAAACCACTAGTGATCCCATCACTACTGTAAACCACTAGTGATCCTATCACCACTGTACACCACTAGTGATCCCATCACCACTGTAAACCACTAGTGATCCCATCACCACTGTCAACCACTAGTGATCCCATCACCACTGTAAACCACTAGTGATCCTATCACCACTGTACACCACTAGTGATCCTATCACCACTGTCAACCACTAGTGATCCCATCACTACTGTAAACCAATAGTGATCCCATCACCACTGTAAACCACTAGTGATCCTATCACCACTGTACACCACTAGTGATCCTATCACCACTGTCATCCACTAGTGATCCCATCACCACTGTCAACCACTAGTGATCTCATCACCACTGTCAACCACTAGTGATCTCCTCACCACTGTCAACCACTAGTGATTCCATCACCACTGTCAACATCACCACTGCTACTTTAACTAAGGAATCATACAGGAGCCTAGAAACACAGGATGAAATTTAATCAATAAATAAAATTAAAAATATATACATTTTTTGTCTTATACCAAATCTAGAGCAAAAACCACATGCAGTATTGGGCCCCTGCTTAAACTAGATGGCACTTGGTGAACATCGAAATGGTATAAAATACCGACAAGTTGTTAGGTAAGACACATATGCAACAGTTAGGTATCTTTATTTCAGACTATGGAACAATATTCTTCTCCAGTCTGAGGCTGACCACCTCAAAACTTCAAGGGTGATGGACTGATTACATCGTCTTCACGTCTTCTGCTTCTATCAACTTTTCTGTACTCGACTGAAGAAGCTTACTGTGTAGGCGAAATGTTTCGAAATAAAGATACCTAACTGTTGCATATGTGTCTTACCTAGATGGGACTTACATAGATGGCAGCAAAGAAATGAATGAGATACTGAAATCCCATTATGACTCAGCGTTTAGTAAGCCGTTAATCAAACTGAAGGTTAACAATCTAAATGATTTCTTTTATGCTGGAGACTCAAAATTTGGTTAATTACAGAATTTTTTATATAATCCTAACACCACAGGACTTTGAAAAAAGAAATAAATGACATGCCTATGCACTCTTCCCCAGGCCCAGACTCGTAGCACTCTGTGTTCATCAAGAACTGCAAGAAACCCCTTTCACGTGCCTTAAATATTCTATGGAGAGAAAACAGAGACACAAAGGTCATCCCAGTCACTAAAAACAACTAATATAGTCCCACTCTTCAAAGGTGGCAGTAAAACAATTGTAAAGAATTGCAGATCAAAAGCATTAACGTCCCACATCATATAAATATTTGAAAGAGTTATAAGAAGCAAGATCGCTAACCACTTGGATACCCAATATTTGCACAACCCAGGGCAGCAAGGGTTTAGAACAAGCAGGTCGCTCCTGCCTCTCACAACTACTGGACTTTTATGACAAGGTCTTGGATGCATTTGGAGGACAAACATAATGTAGATGTTGTATACATAGACTGCAAATAAAGTCAGAGGCGGCTACAGTGATAAGTGGTTGATCAGGCCCTGACCCACCGCGAGACCTGGTCATGGACCGGGCCGCGGGGGGCGCTGATCCCGTAACACCCTCCAGGTATGCTCCAGGTATACCACAGCTGCTACCATCACCACGATCACCACCACCACCAACACAATAACCACCGCCTCAAATTCAAATACTTTATTTATTTTGTGCAGCATACAAATAACGTAGTTTACATGTAATTAAATACTATTAGGCACAAAAGAAAGCGACTAACATGCAGTGCATTTCCACCACCAACACCACGATGACCACCACGATCACCATTACCATCACCACCATAACCACGACTATCACCACCATTACCACAACCACCACTGTCACCACCACTATCCCGTTCAGTGGAACAAGAGAGACTCCACAGCATCACGGGTTTAAAGGACCAGACTTGGTAGAGCTGGACTCAGTGCCCAGAGAGCTGCGGTGGTGGTGAGGTATATACGTCGCTCTCTTCAACCCGCTCGCATTCCATCGTCATTTCTGTGAAGCGCTAAATCTGCGTGGTTCGTTCATGTGTTGGTGCAGGCTCGATCCACAGTCTACTACTCGCCTGACAGACACGCTGCTCATACAGCCAGGCTCTATCTCCAGGACATTTTTCAAGTTCAAAATTACGAATAATTATAGGAAAGAAATTATTTAACTCCGACTTGTGACTGATTTATACTTGTCTAATTACTTTTAAGTACATAATTCACCAAAGATTTTATAGCACAGATCATCAGCATAATAATGACATAATCCGCCAATGGGAGTTGAGCTGTTGCAAGCAGGCAGTAATTGCATGATAATTGCAGTGTTTGATAATTGTGCTAAGCTATACACACGGAACACGTTGCAAAACCGACGTTGAAGAGACGAAAACATTTTTTTTTAATTAGGACCAGCAGTTACAAGATTCTTGAACTATCCTCTAAGGTAAGGTGTTATCTTCGTTATGTTTAGTTATCTTCGTTATATTTTATCATTTATCTCACACACACAAAATATTTAACCTAAGTCGGTAGACTGATCATTGGAATGATTTGACAGGCCTTTTAAATGACGGACTGGTCAGTTGAATGACTGACAAGTAAGTTGAATGATTGACAGGACAGTTGAATTACTGACAGACAGATCGGTTGAATGACTGACAGGTCAGTCGAATGATTACCATATCTATAGTATGACTGATTCTTCAGTGAAATGACTGACAGATCAGCACAATGATTAACAGGTCAGTAGAATGATTGGCAGGTGTCATTTGAGTAAATGACAAGTCAGTTGAATGAATGAAATGTCAGTAGAATAGTTGGTAGGTCAGTAAAATAACTGACAGATCAGCACAAAAACTGACTGATCAATAGAATGATTGATAGATCATGAGGATGATTGACAGGTCTGCAGAATGACTGACAAGTCAGCAGAATGACTGACAGATCACTAGAATGTTTGACAGGTCAGAAGAATAATTGGCAAGACAGAAGAATGAGTAACAGGTCAGTGGAATGTTTGACATTAAGTCACTCGAATTATTGATGAGTTCAGTGTAATTATAGCTATGTTTAATGCAATTATAGCTAAGTTTAATGTAATTATAGCTAATTGTTGACGAGCTCAGTGTAATTAAAGGAGTGCCCAGGGAAATTATAGATAAGTTCAGTGTTGTTACAGGAGAATTCAGTGTAAATACTGAAGATTTCAGTAGGTCGGTGAATTTAAAGGCGAATTTAGTGTAATCATAGACATATAATCACAGATATGTTCTATGTATTTATACTCGTTTTCAATGTAATTATAGAGTTTTAGATATAATTTAGATATAATATTTAGTGTAATTAGAGAAGAGTCCTGATGGATGTTCAGTATAATCTTTGACTGTTTCAGAGTAATTATACAAGGATTCAGAGTTGTTATAGATCAGTGTAAATATAAAAGTGTTCAGTTTTAAAATCGAGTTCTATGCAATTATAGACGAATTCAGAGTAAATATACAAGACTTCAATGCAATTATAGACGAATTCTGTGCTTAAATGATAGATGAGTTCAGTGTAATTATAGTTTAGCGTAATTATAAATGAGTTCAGTGTAATGCTAGACGAGTTTAATTATGTCTCCAGTGTAATTATAGAGTTTAGTCTAATTATAGATGAGCTCAGTGTAATTATAGATAAGTTTAGTGTAATTAGAAATGAGCTCAGTGTGATTATATATGAGCTCTATATAATTATAGACAGTAACGTTTCATAAGTGGAGACTTCATCCACCGTCCAGTGGGAAACTCGACACTCCGACCACTTATAATACCTTTATTTCTACAAGGTATACAGACCATAGCTGACATCAATGACATACTACTATATAGAAAGCCCTTTGTTATGCAAAGCATTTCGGGCAAATTAGGCAAGTTTTGTCCCAGGATGCGACCCACACCAGTCCACTAACTCCCAGGTACCCAATTAGCTGATGGGGAACATAGACAACCGGTGTGAAGAAACACCTTTAATGTTTCTACCCTCGCCGGGAATCGAACCCGGTCCCTCGCTGTGTGAAGCGAGAGCTTTAACCACCTGCCCACGAGGGACCGTAGTTACAAAAAAAAAAAAAGATGTAGGTCGCTAGGTCCACAGTGAGTGTACCAAGTGTATCAGGGACGTAGGTAGGTGACACGAGTGATGGACAGATGCAGTTGTAGGTAATGGCGCGAGGGAATAGGGGAGGGAGGTAGGGAGAAGGAAGTGAAGGGGGAAAGTGAGGGAGGGAGCTGAGGGAGAGGTATAAGTCGACTAACACCCAGAAACCTACTTACTGCTACGTGAACAGATTATCAGGAGTAAATCACCTAACAGTCAGGTACCTACTTAATGTTAAGTGATCAGGGCCAGCAGATGTTAGTCAACTAACACCCAGGTACCTATTTGCTACTAGGTAAACAGGGAAGTGGACGTATGAAGATTTCACCATATGCCCCACCTGAGCCGGTGATCGAACCCATGCTCTTCCCTCTGAGTCAAACTCTCTACCAGCGAGCAATGCGTAGCCTGCTTAGGTGCGTAGGAACGTCAGAAAGCAGGTTAAATATAGCGTTAGGTGAGTGTTCAGGTTTAAGAGCCTTGTAAGTGCTTCAGTCACCCCTTCCCGGAAATGGCTAGGGAGAAGGAGGGGTAACTGAGGTAATCTAAAGTAATCAGAGCGAGCAAGCCGGTAGAAGGAACTAAGCTTAGAGAAGTACTGCTTCAGTTATTAGTTCTAAAGTATATTGACTGCATGACTGGCAGGAGGAAGACCGACCCTACAACAGGCTTTGTACTGAATGAACCACATTTTTTGTTTCTAAAATTGCTGACTAATGATCGGGTCTCTGCCACTGTTTGCGTATGTTGTTTTGCGAACGGAGGCTCGAGCCTCGGCCACTCCTTGTCATACGAGGACAGTCATGTTTGAAACCAGTTGAACAATTAGTGAGGTTTAAAGCTTATCGTCTAAATAGATTTATAGCCTATCAATTAGGTTTAAAGCCTATCGACTAGCTAGGTAGATTCAGAGCCTATCGGCAAGCTAGGTAGGTTCAGAGCCTATCGACTTATCGACTTACTAGTTTGGTCTTAATTAAGCCTATCTATTGGTTAGTTATTTAGGTTGAAGACTAGTTAGTTAGGCTCGAAATCTATTGAGTGGTTAGTTCTCTACTGTTAGCAAGTTAGGCTAAGAAAATCCTGTCGACTGGTTAGTTAAGGTTAAATCCTATCGAGTGATTAGTTACGTAGATTCAAAGCCTGTCACTTGCTTAGGTAAATAGGTGTAAAAGCCAGTTTACATGTTACCTTTACATCACCTTTCAAGAATACATCAATTCCTAAAACAGTTATTAATGTAGACTCTCAGGGTGTATACACTGAGATAAACACATCTCAGGTTTACACAGAGGTAATCCTAGGTTATCCTAGAGGTTATCCTAGGTAATCTACACATATGCTGCTATGTATGATAATTTATGTAAATGTATTTATGTGTACCTGGGTAAACCTCGTATACAGCGTACCCTCGAATTTAGTCCTGCCTTTTCTGTATGCAAAACTATTTTTATTATCTATAAAATGTATTTTTTGTTAATATTTCCCATAGGAAATAATGTAAATCCAATTAAACCATTCCAGACACCCTATGGGAAATATTAACAAAAAATACATTTTATAGATAATAAAAATAGTTTTGCATACAGAAAAGGCAGGACTAAATTCGAGGGTCCACATCGATAGATATATATCTATCGATGTGTATTTCTCAGTATATCCAAACTAACATATAGTCCATAAACCCAAAATAAATCTTAATAACGAATGCCAACGAAGGTCCACTTGAACAGTGGACCTTCAGAGTAGTAGGCCTAACGAGATTACCACTCATTCACCGAGCCTACAATAGAATGGTCTCACAAACAGCACCTCTGTGACATGTTTGTGCCAGCGGCACCAACTATGACCCTACTGCCTCATCCCACAGTCCAAGAGGCTTTCATGAATATTCTGTTCTCAGTCGTTTATTAAGACTTATGTTGGGTTTATGAGGTGTTTGGCCTTGGAGGGGGCCGAGAATAAATCCTCCCTGAAAGATTTTGAGGCTCTGGGACGAGACAGTAGTACACAGTTGGTGAACGGTGATACAAGTATGTCACAGAAGTGCTTGTTGTAGAATGATCCTATTGATAGCGGTTGGTGGTTGTCTGGTAACAGCGTCGGCTCTACTTAATGTAAGAACCACAGTTCGAGTCCACGTCCATTCTTCTATTTATTCAATCTGAAATTCATTTATATCCTGATGTACATTCAACGAGGGGTGTGTATATTTAAGTGTATATCTTTAAGTTTATATGAGCTAAGTTGTATATATCTCCGTGCATATACGGTGAGGATAGTTGCGCATCTCCATGTATCTCGGTGTATATGTGATAAGTATATACATTTCTCAATGTATATACAATTCTCGGTGTATATACACTGAGAAAATGAATCGCAAGATATACGCCGAGAGATATGCACCTCATAGTGTATATACACTATGAGGTTCATATCTTTCAGTGTATATACTCTGGAAAGTGTCTATATTCTCAGTATATGCTCATTGAGAGGTGTATATCTCTGAGTGTACATATACTGAGAGTTCTATATATTTCTGTGCATATACGGTGAGGATATTTGGGCTTCTCTATATTACTCTAGATGCACGAATATATATATATATATATATATATATATATATATATATATATATATATATATATATATATATATATATATATATATATATATGCATCCAGGGAGGTTTTTCTCAGTGTATATGCATTAAAAGTTGTGCATATACCGTGAGAGACTTTTCCCAGCGCATATGCACTGAGAAGTGTGTATCTCTCAATGTATATACACAGATTGTGTATATTTCAGTGCATTATCGTTGAATTCAATAACTAAGTATATAAACACTTACACAATGAGCGGTGGGTATCAGTGAGAGGCATACAATCTGTGTATATATACCGTAAGATGATTGCCACTGATTATACACGGGTGTGCATAATGCAGTGCATATATACTGAGAGGTGTGTGTTTCTCAGTGTATATACAAGAAATATTTAAATTTCTCAGTGCATATACACTTAACAAATGTATATGTAATGGGTGTTGTATATATTTCAGAGGTGTGTATATCTCAGTGTATATACACAGGAGTGACACTGTAAGTTTAAATACAGGGAGATGTGTTTATCTCTGAGTGTACACACAAAGCCGCGACTCATTAAGTGCATATACACTGAGAGGTGTGTATATCTCAGTAAATCAACACTAGGAGATGTGTACCTTTCTTTACAAGCCTTTATTACTCTAAATAGATCATAGATGGCACCCAGTTGCAAGAGTTGGTCACTACCTCTGGTTAAGTCG